CCTCATGCCTGTTCAGCAAACCAATAATAGGTTTTCTCTAGGGCCCCTGAACTTTGTAGCCTTCGCCTTTTGACTGGATTTACTCTGCTGGGCATGAGTTCCCTTCTATGGAGCAGGCCTCAGATCCAATCAGAAGGCAGATGGTGACTCCCATAACAGTCATGCCACTATTTTACCAGTAGTGACATCTTCCCTGATGGGTTGGTCTAGCACTGGGTAAGGCCATTGATACCTTTTCTTTCCTAACATCTGGCATAGCACCTTCTGGCACTCTGAAAGTAGCCAGAAGGGCGAGAGTTTCCTGGTTAGTTTGAGATTGATACCCTTGTGTCCTGCAGCCTGCAGTACGGTCTTATCCATGTAGTTATAGTAGACAACCAAAGACAATGGCAGTGCCTGTGCTAACAGAGTTCTTTATGTACTTGTGTATTAAGTATTTGTTCAGTTATATGTCTCTCATTCATACTTGCTTTGAGCTCTCTTTACTAAGAGAAGGGTACCTGTGGGCATACATTTTTCTTTTATTATATGTATATGCATGCATTTGTCTTCAAAATATTTTTATTAAATTTTTTATTTAAATTTTACATTCTTCCTAGAAAGTCAATGCCTATTCTTTTTAATATTCTTTTACTTTCATTAAACTTTACTTACTTTTTTTTTCCAAACAAGGTTTCTCTGTGTGCCCCTGGCTGTCCTGAAACTCTCTCTGTAGACCAGGCTGTCCTTGAACTCACAGAGATCCACCTGTCCCTGCTTCCCTGAGTGCTGGGATTAAAGGTGTGTGCCACCATCATCTGGCAAAATCTACTTAGATTTTGATTTAATTTTTTGTTAACAGGCAGAGTAATAGGACCATCGTGACATTTACATTTTTACACGTCTATTTCTTTGGATTTTGCTTTTATTCGACTTCTCCTACTGTCGTACCCCCTGTTCCCACCTGTCTTGGTGGTTCACTTCCCTCCAAGTGGGCATTCCATCTGTGTTCATGTCACACGTGCTCCATTACTTGTTATTCTTCCTTTTAGACGCTTGATCTCATGGTCCCCTTTCATTTCTATATCATTCATTCGTTCCTTCCTTCGTTCATTTGTTTGTTCGTTCATTCAGACAGACAGACAGACAGACAGACAGACAGACAGACACACACACACACACACACACACACACACACACACAGCTTAAAATAACTAAAAACACAGTAAAGTGAAAGCCCTGCTAACATGCAATACAAAGAAAACAGGATCACAACAGTAAACAAATGGGGCGGGAGAGCTGCTTCCTAGGTCCTTGGGGACTGGAGACTCCAGTTGTACTCAGTAGGGGGGGAGGGTCACTGACCTTGAGGACTCTTGTTTGTGTGGTTTATCTGCTGCTGAGTCTGTGAACAGCATCTGATGTCTTCTAGTGCATCTTTGCCTTGGTAGCTCTCTATTGTGTACCATGGCTCCTGTTGGCCTTGCTCAGCTTTGCAGTCTGTGGGCTGGGCTGGCTCTTCTACATTCCAGATTGTACCCCTCCAACATGTCTAGTGTTTCCTCCAGGTGTGTCCAGAGTAAGGAAAGGAACCACATCACTGAGGTGATTAGAGGTGGAAGACCTGTCTTCATACTATTGAGACCTCTTGAGGTCCTAGTCACCATGCTGGAGGGATGCTGCTGCTGGTGTCATGTGTACCCTACAATGTCAGAGTTCTCAGGCTCTGTAACAGTGAGCAACAGTTAGGTGACTCCCCCACTAGCTTCAGGCTGAGGGCTGTCAAGCTCTCAGGCTCCTCTTGGTTGAAGACATCTCTCATGGTTACTGAGAGCGGGGCCATCTTTCTTTATTATCCTGCCTGGGCCACTGCCTTAGTTAGGATTTCTGTTGCTGTGAAGAGAGAACATGACCACAGCAACTCTATTTATTTATTCATTCATTCACTCATTCATTCATTTATTAAATTACACTCATGATATTAATCACATTTGTGGTATTCATAGATTACATTCACATTATTCATTCACACACACACACACACACACACACACACACACAAACACACATTTAATTTTAAATGTCGAATGTCATTTCTTGAAGGGGGTAGGAGGTCTTAATTACAGGCTTACAGCACAATGGGAGGACCCTGGAGGGCAGAAGTTCGATACTGATGTTTTACAATCTTGCATCTAAGCCCACAGCAACTCTTGTTAAAGAAAACATTTAATTAGGGTGGCTCACTTCTAGTTTCAGAGGTTCAGTCCACTATCATGGTGGGGAGCATGATGGCATGTAGGAAGACATGGAGCTGGAGGAGTAGCTGAGAGTCCTCCATCTTGCAGGCAGCAGGAAGTCGACTGACACACTGGGTGGTATCCTTAGCATAGGAAACCA